AGCACTGACTATTACAGAGGCCCTGAGTTTGGTTTCCAGCTCCCACATGACAGCTCACAACCATCTGTAACTCCAGTTCAGGGGATCCAACTCCTTCTTCTGACCTCTTTGGGCATTGCATGACATAGGTGCACATACATACATGCAAGTAAAACACTCCTACACATTAAAAAAAAAGAAAATTAAAAAGCCAGGTATGGTAGTACACACTTTTAATTCCAGGACTCAGGAGGCAGAGGCAGGGAGATTTCTGTGAGATAGAGGCCACCCTGGTCTACATAGCAATTTCCAGGCCAGCTGGGTTACAGGGAGATCCTGTCTCAAAAAAAAAAACAAAAAACAAAAAAAATTTTAAACCACCAAAATAAATTAAAAACAAAACAACAACAACAACAAAAAAGAAAGAGTGGGAGGGAGAGGGAGAATGAGAAAGGGAAGGGGGGGAGAGAGAGAGAAGAGGAAGAGGAAAGAAAGAATGATTTAAATATGGAAGAAAGCCAGCGAGTAGAAACAAGATCTGGTAAGGTACGATAAAACTCTCCAAGGGTGAGGGATAAACAGGAACCCATGGAGAAAAGGGAAGCTGGGACAGATAGTGAGAAGGAAAAACGGGCTGATGGAAGGAAGGCAGGCGTGGGCTTGGGCCAGCCCTTTGAGGGAGCACTGAGCTCCTCTCCAGTGTGGTCATAACCTTTGGAATGAGGGTGTGAGTGACTGCAAATTCCCATCTCTCTTTTTCATTCCAGCCTCATTGTAACACTGCTTTCTACGCCTCTAGCCTGGCGTTTTCTCTCTCTCTCCCTCCCTTGCTCTCCCCCATCTCATTGTTTAGGAGTAGGCCAAATCCGAAGTCCTTCCAAGGGTGTGGCTGTGTTCATCTTATTCCCAAGCCCAAGTGAAACAGTGTGAGAAAGACAGAGAGACGTTCAGCAACCAGAAGACCCGGTGGACAAAGTCGAGCATTGTAGACAGTGAGTTGGAGTTATTTATAAAACTACATAGGGGGGATGTCTGTGCATGGGTGCATATATAGCCTGTGAGTGCATGTAGATGTGTACACTGAAGGGTGGAGGAGGTGATGGGAGATATCACTGAACTTAGAATGGAGCACCCCACCCCCAGTTTTGTATGGAATTCCAAGGAGAGGAAGCAACAAGGTGGGCAGATAATATTTAAAAAGCTACAGACATACAAAAGGAAGATTAGATATTAGGAGTGAAAGAGACTTCAGGATACAGCCAAGTATGGATTAATTAGAATGCAAGAGTTCCTCTGTATCTCATGCCTGTATTCCCAGCTACTCTGTAGGTTGGGGAAAGAGGAAGGATTGAATCCAGAAGTTCAAGACCGGCCTGGATAACATAGGAGACCACCTTAAAACATAGGAGACCTCTGTAGAAGAGGAAGAGGCATAATAGGTGACCAAAGGATAGATTTGAGGGAGGGATAAATGTTGGGTGAAAGAACAGGTTTAATTGTAAGGAGAAAGCAAGAATGGCCCTGGGTGACAAAGGGACAGGGCTACAGAGGTGTCTCTCCCCTTGAAGATGAGATGCCTCTGCCCCTCAGCATCATGGTCTCTTCTCTCCTCTACCCCTGTTAGATATGCTGCTCTTTGGGCCCAAGATGCTGCTGTTTATCACCATGCTCATGGTCCCCTCTGGTGAGTCCCTATTTGATTCTTTTCTCCCTGAAATATCAGTTCCTGAGCAATGGGTATGGATGGATGGGGCCGTGGGTTCCAAGGTGTGAAGGACTGAGGCTGAGTGGGAAAGAAAGAGATGGCTAGAGTTGTGCTTGTGTCAGAGGGAACAGGGCAGGTTATGGCTAGGTGACCTTAGACAAGGGGTAATTATGAAACTGATGTAAAATGAAAATATACATGCTTATTAACCACCAAAAGAGAGTCACACACATTTAAATACATAACTAAACAAATACCAACAGAATAAGAAGTTACATAGTATATGGAAACTGCCTTGAAAGAAACTGTACCACCTTTAAATCCCGAAGGAAAATGGTAGAAATATGCTCACTAGCGCCTAACAAACACTTGGGCAGACACATAAGTATATTTACATGTATGAAAGAAGCACATGCTACACTGAAAGACAAGCAATCTTCATAGATTTCACAGAGTCTAACTCAAAGATGAGCCCTAGAAAGTAACCTTGGGCTTTGGAGAAATCCTACTGTATTCTTTTTTTCTTTCTGCCAGATGTAGACTGATAAAGCAATTTTTCTGCCTTGTTCATTGGTGTATCGAGGGCTGTGGGGTTAGGGAAGAAAAGGCTAGAGAGACTTTGTTGGCTCCCCCTCATCCCCCCACTCCCCGTGGACCATGACCCATTCTGGTTGGGGATGAAGAGAAGAGGGTAGCCTGAGCCAGTGTGGAGTGCAGTGGGTTTTGTTCTCATGAATTTGTCTTTCTAGGGTGCATTTCATACTGTTTTAAGTGATATTATGTTGAGCTATATAGGAACAAATCACAAAGATAATATACACTTTCTCTGTCATATTCTTGTTCACCTCATAAAGGGATTATGGGTTGTAGCTCTTGAGTCACTTACATTGCTTTTCTTTCTTTGCTACAGACTGGCTACTGCTAGGGGTCAATGGTCAACGAGGAGGTAGGTGAAGGCTTGGGTATGGGTTCTGTTGGTGTTCTTGTCAGGATAATGAAATGAAGAGTAAGGGTAAGAACCTATTCTAGGAGAGACAGAGGGCTGTTGCCAAGGTATGAAAAATAGAACTGACTTCACCAGTCCCATTACCCCATTTATAAATCCTTGTCTCCTTTAAAAAAAAAATTATTTACTTCGGAGCTGGAGAGATGGCTCAGAGTTTAAGAGCACTGGTTGCTCTAGCACAGGACTCAGGTTTGATTCCCAACACCCACATGGTGGCTAACAAATGTCTGTAGCTCTAGTTCCAGAGGATTCAACTCCCTCTTCTAACCTCTGTAGGCATTGCACTCACGTATGTGCAGACAATACACTCATACACATAAAAATAATAATAATAAATAAAGTGGAGCATGGCGGCACACTCCTTTGATCCCAGCACTTGGGAGGCAGAGGCAGGTGGCTCTCTGTGAGTTCAAGGCCAGCCTGGTCTACATAGTGAGTTCCAGGCCAGCTGGGGACACAGGGAGACCCTGTCTCAAAATAAGTAAAAATAAATATTAAAAAAAATTAAAATATTTAGCAATTTTTATTTACTGTTATGTGTATGAGTGTTTTGCCTGTAAGTGTACCATATGTGCACAACGCCCATGGAGGCCAGTGCTCTTAACCGCTGAGTTCATCTCTCTGTTTTCAGTGCTCTCTGCTGAAACATCTTTCCCAGGACATTTTCTTTGCTCACCTCTTTCTATTCTCCACTGCACATCTCTTATGCACTTCAAGAAAACATGGATTAGGGGGCTGGAGAGATATCTCAGCAATTAAGAGCACCAGCTGCTCTTGCAGAGGATCCGGGTCCAAATTCCAGCATCCACATGGCGACTAACAACAGTCCATAACTCCAGTTCCAAGGGATCTGATGCCCTCTTCTGACCTCCGTGGGCATTGCACTACATGGGTGCACTTATGTACATGCAGGCAACATGCTCATACACATAAAATAAAAATAATAAATAAAATATTAAAAACAGATTAATCCTTACAGAAAATATTCTTTTTTTTTTTCTTTTGGTCTTTTTGAGACAGGGTCTCCCTGTAGCCCCAGCTGTCCTGGAACTCACTATGTAGACCAGGCTGGCCTTGAGCTCACAGAGATCCACCTGCTTCTGCCTCCCAAGTGCTGGGATTAAAGGCATGTGCCACCATGCCTGGCCAGAAAGTATTCTTACTTTTAAAATTTTATTATTAGTATTTTCTGTTCTGAGGATTGACCCAGGTCTTCACACATGCTAGGCAATTGCTTTACAATTTTCTTACAGACCAGGCAAGCATACTTTATTTATTTATTACTTTTTGTGGTGCTGTGGATTGAACCTAAGGCCACATGAATCCAAGACAAGCCACCACTGACCTGCACATTCAGCCCCCAGCACAATAGAGGAAAACTAAAACTAAAATGCAAAGACAGGGTTAAGACACCATCCCAGGCTTTGGTCTCACTGTCCAACAAACTCAGTTACTATGGTGCTGGAAATGGAACCCAGGGCTTTGTGCATGCCAGGCAAGTACCTTACCATGAGCCACATCGCCAGCTCCATTCCAGACTTAGCAGGAAATTATGGCACAATTGGACAGAACCTCAATGTTTTGGCTCCAGAAGGACCAACTTCTTCAGCATGGTGAAGGACTCTCCACTCTACCTCAAACATTCAGCATGATTCTAACTTATCCCTTTGCTTTTCCCAGCCCATGAGAATTAGTAGACAGAGCGCTGGTGTGTACAGACTATTTACTGGGTCGTAAAATCAATTTAATGGGTCACAACTGGCATTTTAAAAATGAATTAAAATAAACATCAGAATGCATTACGTGTGTTTTGCAAGGGTAGTTTATTGTTTTATAAAAGTTGTTTCTGCTGGATGTGGTAGTATATGCCTTTAATTTCAGCACTTGGGAGGCAGGGGGATCACTGTGAGTTCAAGGCCAGCCTGGTCTACATTGTGAGTTCCAGGCCAGTTGGAGCTACAGGGAGCTCAGAAAGCCCCCCCCCGTCCCCCCCAAAGGAAAGTTGTTTTTGTTTCACACTGGGCAAAGTGGTGAAGGCCTTTAATCCCAGCTCTCAGGAGGCAGAGGCCGGAGGCTCACTTCGAGGTGGAGGCCAGCCTGGTCCACATAATGACTTCCAGGCAGGCTGGGACTAAGGAGACCCTGTCAAAAAAAAAAAAAAAGTTGTTTCTATTTCACATGTGGCCCTAATATATATTTCTTGCAGTATGTCCTCGTTCAGAAGATTAAAATATAGAAAGAAAACTTTTTTCTTTTCTATTTATGCTGTGTCTGAATTCCTGAGTTTTTTGAATCTACACGAGATTTTAGCACTAGCAAGAACTAATCTGCTAACTGAGCTGATTTCCCTAGGCTGGCTAAGGACCAGTCCTGAGTTATGGCTTTCTGGCAGACAAAAAAAATACACATTATGGTGAAACTGCTCCAAGATTCCTTTTCAGACACTTTCCAGTTCTAGAAGAAGCATTTACATGGTGCTTGTTCCTAGAGAGCTCTTTAAACTAGATATACAGAGAAACCCGAGACTCTACCCTGTAACCTCGCAGCCAGCACCCCCCCACCAACTCCCAGACTGTTCTGTGGTGACTTCACCATGCGTGGCTAGACTGGAATGTGGGCTAGTCTCTCGAAAATGGACGGGAAGGATTAGGGTCCACCCTGAAGAGGCCCCATAGCCTTTACAATGATTCCGGTCAGTGATTTTTCAAATAGCCTCTGGGAATAGTACAGACATAGTTTCCTTTAATCAAAATTTATTCTGAGCTGGGTGTGGTGGCACAGGAATTCAAGGTTGGCCTCTATCTACTAAGGAATTCAAGGCTAGCTGGGGCTGCATGAGAGTGCCTCAAAATTAAAACAAAACAGCAAGCAACAAAGACAGAAAGGAAACTTATTCTGAAATTACAACATTTTCCAGTGAGTGTTAAAGGAGCTCAGGGTTGGGCTGGGCAGTTTCAGTGGTAGAGCAGTTACCTAGCCTGTAGGAAGGTGGCCTTGAATTTGACTTCTCAGTACCTCAACCTACTTCCACCCCCACCCTACCCCCCTGCCCCAAAAGTCATTGCTTGTCATATCTGTTGAGTTTTTATTTGGAATTTAGAAATTTAAAGAAAGGATTCGGTAAGTATAGGAAACGTTTGAAATCCTCTATTCCACAGTGATCTGATATGTTTTAGAACGTGCTTTGTTCTCCGCTGTCTGAGGAAGGCATCCAGACCCCTATCTGGCTTTGGTTTTTCCAACAATACTTCCCACCTCGAGTTCCTTCAGTTTTTGATTTTTTAAAAATGTTTTAATTACACTTATCTGTTTATTTGGTTTATTTATTTATTTATTTATTTATTTATTGCGTGTGTAGCATGCATATGGTTAGAGGACAGCTTACCGGGGAGCTGGTTTTCTTTCTACCACTTGATTCCCAGGGATCAGACTCATCATCAATTTTGTTTTGTTTTGTTTTTGTCTTTTTGTGACAGGGTCTCCCTGTAGCCCCAGCTAGCCTGGAACTCACTATGTAGACCAGGCTGGCCTTGAACTCACAGAGATCCACCTGCCTCTGCCTCCCAAGTGCTGGGATTAAAGGCATGTGCCACCATATTTGGCAATTTTTTTTTTTTTTAAATCACTGCATTGGACCTCAGACAGGGAATACATTGTAAGCACCAATGCTACAAAGGGAATTTTGGGTTTCCATCTCCTTCCCTCCTTCCTTCCTTCCTTCCTTCCTTCTTTCCTTTCCTCCCTCTCTCCCTCCTTCCCTCCCTCCTTCCTTCCCTCCCTTCTTCCTTCCTTCCTTCCTTCTTTCCTTTCCTCCCTCCCTCCTTCCTTCCCTCCCTCCTTCCCTCCCTCCCTCTTCTTCCTTCCTTCCTTCCCTCCCTCCCTCCCTCCTTCCTTCCTTCCTTGCTCACTCCTTTCCTACTTCCTTCCCTACTCTTTTCCTCCCTCCCCCCCTCCCTCCCACCTTCCCTCCCTCCTTCCTTCCCTCCCTCCCTCCTTTCTTCCTTCCTTTCTTCCTTCTTTCCTACAAGGTCTCATGTGATCTGACTTTGAACTCCAGATCCTCCAGCCTCCACTTCCCAAGTACTGAGACAGGCCAGCCACACAGAAGGTGCCAGGTAGAAGAGAGGCAGGTTTCCTTATTTCCCAGGTTCTGGTCCTGGCTCCCAAGGACTGCAGAATGGGCTGAGACTTCTTCTAGAGGCTCTGTCATTGCCAAAATTCACGTCTGAAAACGACTCTGGTTTTGAGGTGGGGTCTCTAGGAACAACTTCGCTGTTGTAGCTCCAATCTCTAACCAACACAAGTTTAGATGTGTTTTTACTTTTCAAGAATATTCTAACCTTTTTCCTGCAATCCTTTTAGAAATATTCTGGGGGTGAGTGACAGGTTCTTGGAATCCTGATGTCATCATATCTGGCTTGATAAACATTTCCCTAATAAACTGGGGCGGAAGAGCTTGTTCTTACATTTAGAATCTGAAGCTTGAGGAAACGGAACAGAAAAGCCAACAAACTATGTGGATTTTCTGACCCCTAGTGGGAAGAATGGATTATGAACATAAACTACATGGAAAGAAGAGTTGCCCATGAATGTTTTACTAAACACAGTATTTATTTATTTATTATTTATTTATTTATTTATTTATTTATTTATTTATTTAGTTATTTATTTGATGTGTATGAGTGCATTGTCTGCATGTTGTATATATACAGTGCCTGCAGAGGTCAGAAGAGGGTGTCAGGTCCCCTGGAACTGGTGTTATGGACTGTTGTTAGCCACCATGTGGGTGCTGGGAATTGAACTGAGACAGGGTCTCCCTGTAGCCCCAGCTATCCTGGAACTCACTATGTAGACTAGGCTGGCCTTGAACTTGCAGAGATCCGCCTGCCTCTGCCTCCCAAGTGCTGGGTCTAAAGGCATGCATCACCACGCCCGGCTAAACACAGTATTTAAATGTCATCACATCCCCCTACACAGACACACACAGGTGAGAAAATGGATATTAATTTGACTACTTGGCTATAGTAATTATTTCACTTCATATATGAACATGTTGTACACTTTAAAAATGTACAATAGCTGGGTGTGGTGGCACACGCCTTTAATCCTAGCACTTGGGAGGCAGAGGCAGGCAGATCTTTGTGAGTTTGAGGCCAGCCTGGTCTACATAGTGAGTTCTAGGACAGTTGGGCTACAGCGAGACCCTGTTTCAAAAAGACCAAAAAAAATGTACAATAAAAATATATACATTTAGATCCAGGCACATGCTAGTAATCCCAGTATGATCTGGAGTTCCAGGCCAGCGTAGTAAGATTCCACCTCAAAAATAAATGTAGCTGGATATGGTGGGACATGCCTTTAATTCCTAGCAGTTGGGAGGCAGAGGCAGGATGATCTCTGTGAGACCATGGCCAACCTGGTCTACATAGTGAATGCCCGGCCATCTGAGGCTACAGGGAGACCCTGTCTAAAAAAAAAAAAAAATCCAAAATAAATAAATAAGGACTGGAAAAGTACCTCAGTTGGTAGAACAGGCAAGTCCCAAGTTTGGTCCCTAGAACCAAATAAACTGGGCATGGTGGTGGCACCTGCTTATAATCCCAGAATTTGGGAGGTGGGAGCAGGAGAATCAAAAGGCTTAGAACTTCAAGATTATCCTCCCAGCCAGCCTGGGTGGCTACAGGAAGCCCTGTCTTTTTTTTTTTTTTTTTTTTTTTTTTTTTTTTGTCTTTATGAGACAAGGTCTCCCTGTAGCTCTAGCTGTCCTGGAACTCACTATGTAGACCAAGCTGGCCTTGAACTCACTGAGATCTGTCTGCCTCTGCCTCCCAAGTGCTGGGTTTTTAAAGGCGTGCGCCACCACACCCGGCTAAGGAAGCCCTGTCTTAAAGTAAATAAAATAAAACAGTAAATAAAGCAAAGTATTGGGCAGAAGTTGTAGTTCAGTAGTAGATGACTTTGTCTAGCATGTACAAGATCTTTGCTTTATCTGCAATGCCACACAATAAGGAAGTAAAAATTTAAAATAAAACTAAAAATGCCTACACTCTTTTGTTATTTTGGTTTTCATTGAAAGACAATGTGCTGGAGGTGTATCTCAATGACAGAACATGTGCTGAGCCTATATAAAGCCCAGCATGAAATAAAAATTATCATTATAATAATTAATATACAACTTGTTTTCGAAAGTAGTATGATTTACAATCCCTGATATCATTGTCTTAGTTATTCTAGTAGAATCTACCTGAAGATCCCAGCCATTTTTTTTTCCTCGAGGCAAGTTCCAACTATGTATCCCTGGCTGTCTTGGAACTTGTTAAGTAGACCAGACTGGCCTGGAACTCACAGAGATCCTCTTGTCTCTGTTCTCAAGTGCTGAGATTAAAGGCGTGCGCTGCCATGGCTGACTAATCCCATCCATTTTTATTTCTTCCTGCCCTTGCTTTCTGAAGGTCAAATGCAAATATTCTCTATTACCAATGCTGTTTCCCCCTCCCACGTCTCACTGTTTCTCAATTATTACCGCTGCCTTTTGTAAATTTTCTATATAAATATGGGGCTGGGAATGTAGTTCAGTGATAGAAGCTGAGTTTAGCACGTGTGAGACCCTATGTTATATCTCCAACACACACACACACACACACACACACACACACACACACTACATGAATGTCAAAATTACAGTGTCAGCCAAATATGGTGATTAACACCTATAATATCAGCTTTTGGGAGACTGAGATAGGAGGACAGATCTTAAGTTCCAATGAGCCTGGGCTACCAAGCAAAACTCTGCCAAAAACAAAACAAAACAAACAAAACAAAACAAAACAAAACAAAACAAGCCAGCACTTTGGAGACAGGGGCAGGAGGATCTCTGTGAGATCGAGGCAGCCTGGTCTCAATAGAGCATTCCAGACCAGGTGGGGCTACAGGGAGACCCTGTCTCAAAAAGACAATATATACATATTGCAAAGAGGTCATCAATCTCTTTGGTTAACAACCACCAGAAACTCTAGTTCCAGGGGATCCGACACACCCTGTTCTGACCTCCCCAGGCATTGTATGACATGGGTGCCCTTACATATGCGCAGGCAATATACTCATACACATAAAGTAAAAATAATAATTAAAATAATTATATGTATATGTGAATGCCTGCATTCAAATTTGTGTACCATGTATGTGCCTGGTGCCTGCAGAAGCCAGAAGTGGGCGTCAGAAGTGGACACCAGATGTGGGTGCTGAGAACAGAAGCCAGGTCTTCTGCTGGAGCAACGAGAGCTCTTAATCACTGAGCCATTTCTCCAGCCCCCGATTGATCTTTATTTTTAAACGTTTACCTTATTCACTTATTTATGAACAAACCATTTGATTCAGAGTCTTAAGGTAGGGAAAGGCTGAAGAGGTCAGCAGGTTCTGACACAATGAAGTTTGACAAGGCAGAGCTTCCTGCCTAGTGGTTGCCCAGAGCCTATTATTAGAGGCAGAGAAAGAAAAGTAGATGCAGTGTCTTTATGCATTGGGTGTTAATACTGGACAGTTTCACTTTCTGGGAGTACAAGGATGGAATGCCTAGAAACGTGATCTGCTTTTGCTTTGTTTTGTTTTTTTCAGATGATGTGACCCAGGAATCATTCACAGAGGATCCTAGTAAGCCACTCTGATTTTGTTGTTTACTTACTGTCACATTGGGGATTGAAAGGATCAAGGGTGACATCTGTCCAAAGAGAAGGTGGAGCTCCTTGGCACCTTCTTGTCTCTTAGTGACTACAAAACACTCCAAACACACCCAGCCTTATCATCTCTTCCACTTCTCTGGGCGAAGTTCCCTTTATCTGCCCAAGAGTCCACGTGGTCAGGCATGGTGCTCACACCTTTAATCCCAGAACTGGGGAGGTAGAAGCAGGCGGATCTCTGTGAGTTCAAGGCCAACCTGCTGTACATAGGGAGTTCCAGGCCAGCTGGGGCTACAAGGAGGCCCAGTCTTTAAAAATACCAAAAACAGAGTCTACATGCCTCCATTTCAATTCTTTTGTCTCCTTTTATTTATTTATTTAATCTAGTTTTGTTTGTTTGTTTAGTTTTTGAAGACAAGATCTTCTGTAGCCCAGATGGCCTGGGACTCACTATGTAGACCAGGCTGACCTCAGTCTCTCAGAGATTCGCCTGCTTCTGCCTCCCCAGTGCTGGGATTAAAGGCATGTGTGGCCACCAGCCACCAGAAAGGGCTTTTGTCTTCCTTTAAGATAAGCAGCCCTCTAAATCCTGCTTTTGTCAGTCACTTTCCCCCCAACCCTTGACTTTCCCTCTCTGTTTTGTGTCTTTGCAGATTTGGTGAATGATCCTGCTACAGATGAAACAGGTAGCATTTACTAAAGTTCTTAAACGTCATGATCTTGTTAGGATTCACAATATTTATTCCAGCTCTTGAATTCATCCTATATTCTTAGCTCTGTATAAAGGGGTTGTAGGAGTGCTGTTCATGACTGAAAGTAGTATTAAAAAAAAGAAAGCCTTGCCAGCCCTCTAAAAGGAGGGAACCCAGCCTACGGATGGCTCAGGGGGTAAAGGTGCTTGCCACCAAACCTGATGACCTGAGTTTGACCTCTAAGCCCCATGTGGTGGAAGGAGAGAACAGATTCTGGAAAGTTGTTCTCTGACCTCAATACCTGAGCTGTAACATGTGCACACACACTCACACGATAAGTGTAAAATAAAATAAAAAAGGTGGAACAATGTGGATTAATAGCTAAAATAAGACATGGATAATAAAGGCATCCCAAAAATTAATATAATGTTAATAGCACCAGTATCCTTCCAAAAGCGTTCCCAATTAGCTTCCAGTAACTTCCATTAACTTCTGTGTTCCCCAGATACAGCATTCAGATACAGCTGTTGCTGTGCCCTTGCCCTGATATCTGCATTCTCCCTCGTCCTGCTCTGCATCCCCCTTGCAATTCACAGCCCTCCTCACACCTGCTATTTTGTGCTTTCAGTTCTGGCTGATATCGAGCCTTCCACAGATGACCTGGGTGAGTTCAGATCTGGGATTCCAGGGCCACCAGGGTCATTCTGGGCTTTCCCCAGAGCCCGTACAGAGGATTCTAAATAGAATTACAGTTTATAGAATACATTCTTCCAATTATTCCATTTAAATTATTGACAGTTTTGAGGGGGGTTGTTTTTTGTTTTTTTGGTCTTTTTGAGACCAAACTGGCCTGGAACTTGCTATGTAGACCATGCTGGCCTCGAACTCACAAGAGATCTGCTTGCCTCTGCTTCTCAAGTGCTGGGATTAAAGGCATGTGCCACCACGCCCGGCTAAATTATTGACAGTTTTGAACCTCTGACAAGTAGGAATTACGCTAGGTTGTTTAATATACAAAATATCAAGACGCAATCTTTCAAAGTTTCCAAGACTTGATGGATAAAGACAAATGGGGGAAAGAAGGTAAAAGGAAAATCAGAGCGTGCACACGAAGGAAACCAAGCTTTATAAATGGTGAGATAAGGAATAGGAGACAGGAAGGAAGCAAAGAAAATGGAGACTAGGTTTGTCATTGTTGCCACTGGTAGGGATAGAACTCAGGGTCTCATACATGCTGGGAGAGTCTCTACACCGAATCACATACCTCCAGGTCCTACGTTATTTTTAGCGAACAGTTTTTGAAAGCCAGCTATGTGCCAGAAATATAAAAGTGAACCCAAGTAATTTTCTTCTGCAGGTATCTTTTGTCTAATAGGCAATGCAGACAATTGAACACGCATCATTATCCTGTCCCACAAAGTAGTATCATTAGGTTGAGTTATAAAAGGCGTTATGAGAGACAGGAAGAGTTCTTGATGATATTACGCTTGGGAATCAGAAAAGGGTTTTCTGGAGGGTACATTGCCTGGATTTTTTTTTTTTTTTTCTTGAAAGGCCAGTGGGAGTGAATGAAGTGAATAGGCGGGCACTAACAGGGAAGGAAAACACCATGGGTAAAAGGCTGAGGATAGGAATGGAAACCATTCAAAGAAGGCTTTGGGTAAGGGAAGGTGTTAAGCAGCTTTGTGCATTGGGAAGATCATACTCCACTCTCATTATCCCACCCCGTACTCCTGTTCCCCCACCAATGGGGTTAATTGATTAAACCAAAGCAGCCAGCAACCGAGAAATGAGCAAGGATGCTGTGGCAGCAGTCCCAGGAAAGGAGGACTGCAGCCAAAGTAGATGTAATGCGAGTTAACCATCAGCTGCATGGGGAGGATCGAGATGGATTGTGGCACCAGTCACTGAAGAATGACTTCAACCGGTGAAGGAAAAATAGAATTTGAGATATGTTGAATTTGAAGAATCTCCAAAAAAAGCCAATAACCTGCATAAGACACCAATTAGATCTTTGCATTTCAGGAATAAGGTCTGGACTAGAAACATAGGTTTGGGGATTACCAACAGAGAGATCTGTTTGAAATTGTGTGGTAGATGATATCTAGCCTCTTTCTGGTATCTTTTCTATTAACAACTCTTCCAGTGACATTCCCCAGATAACTCTCCTGAGTCTCTGGTCCCTCAAAACTCACCTAACTCCATTCTGTGAACTAAGCTCGTATTAAACTTACACCTAGGTCAGTTTGGACTATGAACATGACCCTTGTTATTCTTTACCCAATAATTCTTCTTAAAAAGACTGTGATTGCATGATTGCATATCTTTTTTTTTTTTTTTTTTTTTGTTGTTTTGAGACAGGGTCTCCCTGTAGCCCCAGCTGTCCTGGAATGCACTATGTAGACCAGGCTGGCCTTGAACTCATAGTGTGTGCCACCACGCCTGGCTACATATCTATTCTTATGGGCAGGAAATCTTGTCTGTGGAGATGCTCCTAAAGAGCAGTAATGTATTTTCTCCTCATCTCTAGGATGCAGGTTTTCTAGGTCATATGGTCCTTTCTCTTGCATTTCTAGTAATTTGCTACTTATTACTAATTATGGTGGTACATGCCTATAATACTTGGGGAGCTTGGGTAGAAGAATCACTTAAGCCCAGGGGTTTGAAGGTAACCTGGATAACGTAGGGAGAACTCCATCTCTAAAAATGCGTATATTTTTTGAAATTGGGTCTTAATACGTAGCCCCAGTTAGCCTGGAACTCATGTAGACCAGATTGGCCTTCAACTCACAGAGATCTGCCTGCCAGTTCTGGGATCAAAAGCATGTGCCACCATGCCTGGCTCTAAAAAAAAATTTTTTTAATTGCTTCTCATTGGTTAATGCAAAGATACTTATAATGCAATGAATTTCTCAACTGCCCGGAACAGAAAAGTAAAAGGCAGAGTCCATCTTAATCTCTAAGTCTCTTTGCTGTGTGGCTCAAATAAAGCCGAAGAGATGTTTTCTTCTAGACATTACTAAAAGAGTTATCAATTCATTTGTTCCCTATTTCGAAGTACCCTGCCTGGGTCTGAGAAAAGAAAGGCACATGACGATTGGCAGAGGCAGTGGCTTCTAGAACTGTTAATAACTGAGTAAAATTTCTGCCTTGCAGCTTCACCCAGTGACAAAAATACCACGGCAGGTACAGTGTTTTTACATTTCTTTCCTTAAGCTCTTGTTTTTATTTCCTGTAGATTCTTTGCCTCCTTGCTCTTAGAAGAGTATTTGATACACTATCGAAGAGTAATTTCAGTGCTCTTTACTCCAAGTCTTCTTCCTTCCTTCCCTCCCCCCTCCCTCCCTCCATCCCTC